TTCTTCTATTCTTAAGGAGTGCTTTGCTTATTCGGGGCTTCTTTCCATTTCATATTGAACTGGAGATTTTCTTTTCCATCTCGTTGAAGAATGGGATGGGCATTTGTATTGGGATTGCACTAAATGTGTAAATTGCCTTTGGTAGTATTGCCATTTTCACAACATTGAGTCTTCCTATCCATGAGCAAGGGGCTAGGTTTTATTGTTGTCATCGTATTGATTTCTTTTTGTGTTGTTGCTAGTTAATTTGGACCATGCAGCTTTCTGTGGTATGTCTGTACAAAGGACATCTCTGCGTCTCTCCTGCAATGCTGGTCTTGTTTTTACAAACTCTCCTTGGTTCTACTTTTCTGGGAATATCTTGATCTGTCCTTCATATTTGATGGATTATTTTGCTGGGTACAGTATTCTTGGTTGACAGTTTTGTTCTTTGAGTGTTTGATATATGTCCTTCCACTCTCTTCTTGCCTGCATGGTTTCTGCTGAGAAATCGGCATTTAATCTTATCTGTTCTCCCTTATAGGTTACTCTTTGTTTCTCCCTTGCTCCTTTCAGGATCCTCCCCTTATCTTTGGTTCTGGCAAATTTAACTATGATATGCCTTGATGTTTTTCTTTTGGGGTCTAATCTAGATGGTGTTCTCTGAGCTTCCTGAATGCACATTTTCTCATTCTTCATTATGCCTGGAATTTTCCTCTAGTAATTCTTCCACAACTTTTTCAATGCCTTTACTTGCTTTTTCCTTTTCTGGGATTCCAATGATGCACATGTTATTTTTCTTGATGGTGTCCCACATTATTCTTAGTTTTTCTTCTTTTTCCTTCTTTTTTGAGTCTGCTTTATGCTCTAGCAGATCAGTGGTGACAATTTTGTCTTCAATTTCACTGATTCTGTGTTCCATCTCATCAACTCTGCTCATATGTCCCTCCATAATGTTGACAGCCTCTGAAACATTGGACCTTATATTTAGAATGGTTTATTCTTGTTTTTCCAGTGCTGCTAATGCAGTTTTCTCTTATTATGACATGTCTGTTAGTACAGTTGAGAAGGGTTTTGTTTTCTTGATGCTGAGATACAATGTATACTGAAGGATGCAATCTTTGATATTTTTCAGTAAGTACTTCAGTTATCTTCATTTTCTGCAAGCAGTTTTGTGTGCCATCTACATAACATAGATGGCTGTGTAGTCTTCCTCTAATTCTTGATGCCACTTTATTCTTCATATGGTTCAGTTGCTTGAATGGTTAGCCCAGTATAGCTCTGGTGTCCAGGTACTAAGGAACTATGAAACAAACCCAAGAGCACGTGGTTCAAATCCACCAGGCTGCTCCATGGGAAAAGATGTGACAATCTCCTCCCACGTGATTTACTTTCTCTGAAAACCCACTGTAGGGTCAGCTATGGGTCAGTTCTGACTCCAAGCCACAACACAACAACAAACATACTGAATGGGTATGGATAAGTAATTCAGTTTTGATACACATTTCCTTTATTTTAAACCATGCAGTATCCCTTGTTCTGTTCAAGAACTGTTTGGTTTTTGGTTTTTTGTTTTTTTTGTATACACCTTTCATGATCAAATTGATGCCCAAGAATTCCAATTTTTCTCAATGTTGTCTGTAATTTCTCATTATCCATATAATCAAATGCTTTTGTTTGGTTAATAAAACACAAGTATCTTTCTAGTGTTCTTTCATATAAAGCAGTTGAAAATATTAACATTTGAGTTGGGCACATCTTAGTCTTCAAAGTGGCATCATTGTTCTTTAATATTTTAAAGAGGTATTTTGTAGCAAGTTATCTGAATGAAATATGTCATTTGGCTGCTGGTTGCTGCTTCCATGAATATAAACTGTCAATTAAAGTAAGATAAAACCCTTGAAAACACTGATCTTTTCTTTAATTAAAGATATAGTAATCTTTAATTAAAGAGATATTAATTATTTGTCCAATTATGAAGATTTTTATTTTCTTTTTGTTGAGATATACATCTTAGTTAAGTCTATAGTCTTTAATCTCCACATGTAAGTGCTTCAATCCACTTTAGTTTTCTTAAAGAAGCAGGTAATACCTGCATATCACAGATTGTTAATGACGTTTCCTCAAGTCATGAGTACACGTCAACAGAAATCCTTTGAAAATAGTCAATGATTTCTCCACTGGATTGAAGTGTAAATGGTTTGGTAGAATTCTTGGAGAATAGATTTATTTCACATTTTTTGTCATTAATTATGTGATTTTGGAAACTTAATTCATTAACATTTAAGAACGCTCATACATAAAGTCACAACAATGGATTAGAATACTTCTAGATGAATAATACGGAAAATAGTTGTGCAAGACAGAAGGTAAGAAGCTTTATTGCACTGTGGTACTGAAACAGTTTGGCTTTGCCGTGTTTGGACACTGGGCTTTGGAGCTTTACATCACTGCATTTCTTACGTATTTTAATACCTTCTTCCCAGGCTCAAATATTTTAACCTTTCAGGATATTTACTTTAGAAAAACTAAATTTTGGCAAAGTTCATTTAAACAACATCTTTTACGTAACAATTATTTATTTCATTATCTTTATAGATAATATTCTATGGTTTTTCAAATGTGTTTATAAAGGTTCTTTCTGAAACAGATTTCTTTATTTTCATGGAAGTTCATTTTTGTGAAAATCTTTTAAAATGATACAGATCTAAATTAACAATATGCACACCACCTTATAAATCTCTTGCTTCTTAATTTTGTCTTGACATTTCTTGAAGTTGCAACAATAAACATCAATAGTATAGTTAACAAAATCAGGATTATGCCTCTAAAGTTGGCTTTTTTAATGTCTAAATCAATAACTGTATTTATGAATTTATAGTCCAAACAAAGAATGACTAAGCTAGTATCTAACTATATGAGAAAGATCTGATAAGGCAAAATATTTAGATGAACTATTTTGAGACTCTATCCTAATTTGAATTGATCTATGGATAAACTGAAGATATTTCATTTACCTGGTTGACATTGAAGAGTAATTTTAAGCCTCGTCCTGACACACTCACTGTTTTTCTTGCTTCAATATTTTCACCATGATTAAAAGTAAAACAATTTCCATATTCAGTGAAGATGTGTGCAAAATCCTCCATTATTAAAAGAAATAAAAATAAAATACCATCAGTTTGGCGTTATTGGTCTCCTCTGAAGTTTAAATATCTTTAATTATTCTTTCTTTTTTTAAAAAAATTTTGTTTTATTAATTTTAATGAACGTTTACAGAGATTTTGGATTTCCATTCATTCATTTAATTATTCTTTCTTTTCTTAAAAAAATTTTGTTTTATTAATTTTAATGAACGTTTACAGAGATTTTGGATTTCCATTCATTCATTCATTGTTGCATTTTTTTCCCCGTCCACCCCTCCTCCCAGTTCGCTCTTCTCTTTGAAAAGTAAAAGAAAATTTTCTTCACTGGTATACAACACCCTCACTCCCCGTCCCCAGTACGATTCCACTTTACAACCTTCATTCTGGACTCTGTTTCAATTGCAATATGGGTGTGTCAGAGACAATGACATTGGCACGGGATAGAGCACGGTTTAGGGCTGTTGTACATAGGGTCGCTATGAGTCACAAATGACTCAACGGCACATAAAAACAACAACAACAACAACAACTTCTATTTTTTTCTAGTCTTACCCTAACTCTGATGTCAGTCCCGTTCTACAACAGTGGCACTATGCATTTGTGACTGAGATATTTCACTCAGCATAATGTCCTCCAGGGTCACCCATTTTGAATAAAATTGCATGAGTTCTTTGTTTTTCAATGCAGCATAATATTCCATTGTGTGAATATACCAGAGACTCTCCAACCATTCGTTTGTTAATGGGCACTTAGGTTGTTTCCAACTCTTTGCTATTGTGAACAAAGACATAATAAACATGGATGTGCATATATCTGTCTGGGTAGCAGTTATGGTTTCTTTAGGGTATGTTCCCAGTAGAGGAATTGCTGGGTCAAGTGGTATTTCTATTTTCTTTTTTTTTTTAAATTATATTGGTTTACATACAAAGTTCATAATATTTTTATACATTGTTTTTCACATCTGATCTTTCCCCTTTCATTTACACATCCCTCCCTCCACCCATCAAATTGTGTATTTTCAAGTGAGAATGCAAGGATGTTAAAAAGAATGTATTATCTAGTGATCTGTGTTTTATTCAGTGGAAATTTCTTTTTTTTTAACAAAATAGATGCACTGTTGAAGTTGTATTGTATCATTTGAGATAAGATATTTTCCCTATTGGCCATCCACTTCTGAAATAGCAGACCTTCGAAAGCCCTATGCACAATAGAGCGCACTTAGCCTAGTAGCTATGATAGCTGAAGCTGAGCCCTCAAGTATGGAAACCCATAAAAGAAGGAACAGCTGTAAGCAGACACTAGTGATTGGAACATGGTATGTGAGACCATGAACATAGGAAAATGGGATATTGTTAACAAAGAAATTGAATGCATAAATATTGACATACTAGATATTGGCAAAATGTAAGTGACTGGCATGGGGCGTTTATAGTCAGACAATCATATGATCTACTATGCTAGAGAAGAAAAGATTAGGAAAAATGGGGTTGTTTTCCTAGTTTTAAAAAAGTCATTTCTAGATCTGTTTTGAAATACAATATTGTGAGTGACTAGATAATATTCATATGCATAGAAGGAAGTCCAGTGAATAGCACCATCATTCAAAGATATGCACCAACAATCAGAGCCAAAGAGGAGTAAATAGAAGATTTCTACCAATTTTTGTAGTCAGAGATTGATCAAACATGCAATCAAGATGCATAAATAATAATGAGTGACTGAAATTCAAAAGTTGGGAGCAGAGGTGACAGAAATGAAACTAAAGTTAGAATGATAGAATTTTGCATGATCAATGACTTACTCATTGAATATACATTTTATAAGAAATAAACACAGGATATACACATGAATTTCACCTAATAGTAAGCATATGAATCAGATAGGTTACATCTGTGGAAAGAAGAACTGGAGAAGCTCACTATCAGCTGTGAAAACTAGGCCAGGTACAGATTGCGGAACAGATAACTAACTACTCATATGAAAGTTCAAGCTCAAGCTGAGGAAAATCAAATCTATGGGAATCAAAATTTGACCTTGAGTCTATCCCACCTGAATTTCAAAACCATCTCAGGAAGAGGTTTGAGGCTTTGGACACTAATGAGCGAAGACCAGATGAACAGTGGAAAATATTAAGAATATCATCCAACAAATAATTGTGAGATATCTCACCCCAGTAGGAATAGCAAAATGTATTAGAACAGCAAACATCAAATGCTGGCGAGATGTGGAGAAACTGGAACATTTATTCACTATTGGTGGGAGTGTAAAATGGTGCAACCACTATGGAAGGCAGTATGGCACTTTCTCAAAAAGTTGCAAATAGAAATACCATTTGACCCAGTAATTCCACCACTGGCAATTTACCCTGAAGAAACTGTAACTGTTACCCAAGCAGATATATGCACTCCATGATCATTGCACTTTTGCTCGCAATTGTAAAGAGCTGGAAACAACCCAAATCCCCATCAACGAATGAATGGATAGGGAAGCTCTGCTATATTCATACAATGGAATACTCTGCAGCACTGAAAAACAAGGAACTCATTAAATATTATACAAAATGGATGACCCTAGAGAACATTATGCTGAATTAACTATATCAGTCACAAAAGGACAAATATTGCATAGGACCACTGTTGTAAGATGGAACTGACATCAGGATTGAGGGAAGACAGAAAAGGAGAGCAGGAATGATGTATATTGCATTGAAATAGATGATGGAGAGAACTGTTGAAAAGCGATATATGAATTAGTATTCTTGTCATTACAGGAGTCTAGAGTGAAGGCTGCATAGTGGAGTGGACTTGGGATGGTATTGCATAACAATGAAAGAGTTTTTCTTTCTTTTCAAGGATAAAAGTGGATTGGGGTGACTGGGTGGGTAGGGAGAAATGTGTAACAATGAATGACTGGAAACCCTAAGTCTCTGTAAACTTTCATTAAAATTAATTAAATTTTTTTTAAAAAAAAATA